GCCTCTTGAAAGTTTTCCTAAGAGGGCTATCATGATAGCAAATTAATGCTATCATGATAGCAATTAGTTGCCCCTGTTTGCCAAATTTAATTCCATGTTCTATATAGTAACCCTTTAGACTTTTTTACAAGGTTTTAAATGTGTTTTTTGCTATTATGTAAATTGTTTAGTGGTTTAAATGGTTTGTTTCCTAAATTAGTTTTAGGATCAACTCCTAACCATACTTAGTTTATTGGTTGTCGTGTGCTTTTATTAACATTTAGGGAAAGTGTTACATCTTATCATGAGAGATCTCCCTTTGCAATTTGGCATTGCATTAAAATGTCTTGACTTGTTTCATCCAAAAAAAATGTCTTGATTTGAATTGCAATAATGTAGGATGATTAGTGTTTTTTTAGGTGAACTGTGAAATACTTAATCGAATATAGCCTCAAACTTTAGTAGTGAAAGAATTATAAGTCAGAACAATAATGGAGTCTTTGATTTAAAAAAAACAATTGTCGCGTTTGAATCTTGCAAATATATTTCTTAAGTACCGCGCCATTCCTAAAACTTATAAATTTGCATTTGTATCATTAAAATTGTAAAAAATAATAATCACTAATGTAGAGGATTAGCCTCAAATTAAAATCAATAGAAATCTTAATTATTTTTAATTAATTTATTTACATAATCCCTCTCTACAATACAATAAACATTAACAAGAAAATTTGTGAAAAGAAGAATTTAATGTTTTTAACTTTTAGAGTTTGGATTTATTTTCGATCTATATTAACTAGTAAAAAATTTTATATATTTACATATATATTATACAACAACAATAAGCTTTATCCCACTATGTGAGATCGGTTATATGAATTGTACTATGTCATTGTGCTCTGTCATTTTCAAGCTTTTAAAAATGTTATTAACTAAAAAGTCTCGATTAACAACTTTTAAAAGTATTCTCTTTAACCTTGCTTTACTCCTCTTAACAAGGCTCAGAATTATCTGTTCTACTCTCTCAGGGGTGCCTCTCTAGTCTTTTTTTTTTACATGTCCAAACCATCTTAAATGATTTTCTACCATTTTCCTCTTAATAAATGCTACACCCACTTTTCCTCCTATGTCCTCATTTTGAATTTTATCTTTACGTGTATGTTCATATATTCATTTCAACATTCTCATATTTGCTACTCTAACTTTATACTCTTGCTATCCATTAAAAAAATATTACTTCCTCCATCCCAAATTATAAAACACTTTTAAACAAAATCTCACATACTAATAAACTATTAGACATAATGGCTTATGACATTATGTTTAGCTTATGTTTTGATGATGACAACTTATGCCTAATTTTTTTCATATATATAGTGATTAATAATGACTATGGAATAAGTGCTTCATATTGTTTTTTTACGTTGTTCCATGTTACATGAGATTGGAAAAAATCATTTGTGTACATCAAAATTATTTATACTATCATATTTTTTCTTATTTTAAATTGATTATATATCCAAGACTATTCATAGTATTATCTTTCATAACTTGGATATATGCATATTGACACTTGGACTAACCATTTTATTCATGATATATCATTTAAGGTTGTCCAAAGTGAAGATGAGAGTAAAGATGAAGAGGAACAAAGTTAAATTTATCATTTGCATGCTACATTCATAATTGAAGAACATAAAGATAAAGAGAAGGATGATCTAAGAAGAGCTTAAGAAGATTGAAGAGATTCCTACAAGCTTGGATGCACCTTGAAATCCTTGGACTTGATAGGTATAATATCATTAGGCTAGAAGTCTTTATGTTAAACTCATTAATTTAGATATGAAATATTAGCTCAAGGTATTTTAAATCAAAACATGCATTTTAGCTCTTAAGAGAAAAAGTGAGATATAATTTTTTATATTCATGTTTTCCATCTTTGATTATATATATCTCACAAAGTTTTAAATGCTTTGATTACTAACTCCATAAAGTTTTCAAAGTTATTCTATTTACTTAAAATGGAGTTAAGTTGAAAAAGCCATGAATAGTTAAAGTCTAAGCTTTGAAATGGCATTGTGCAAAAAATTATTTTTGACCTTTTATAACACCATAAGTTTCTCAATTTGTAAAATTTGATGTTTTCAAGGTTAATTTGGTTAATTTAGATAAATTATTGATTTAGCAAGGTTTGTGGGAGACTAATATATTTTTTAAATCCTTAGACAACCTTAAAGGAGGGCTAAGTTGATGTTTGAGTGGGCCATAGCCTAGAAGGGAGTTTAAAATTTTGTGGGACTTTTCTGTGCCATGTACCGTGGCGGGCTTGTCAATATACTGTGGCACACGTGCAAAATCAGCACTTATCAGTTCATGAAACAAACCAAAAATAGAAGAGAGAAAGAAGAAAAATGAGAGAGCAATGCAGAAGAGTTCTTAGACTACTAGGGCACGATCCCTAAGCTACTTCAGGAGCGTTTAGAGCTTAAATTACTATTAGCTAAGTTGTACATTCCCTCTTCTGCCTCTTTTATGTGAAAATCTGGACATTTAGGGTAACAGGGGCTTTGATTTTAGTTCCTTTAGGTTTAGACCAAACCCATTGATTTATTTAAGGTCTTAGGAAGCTAAGCCTCTAACCTTAAGTTTATAAGTTTTGTAGTGATTGAAAATTTTTGGTAAGGGTTTGGACGAACTCTAAGTATAATTTGAAGATTTTAAGATAATGTAGGATATTAATTAGTGATTTTGGTATGTTGGAATGTTTAATAAGATGGCTAGAGTGTTTGGAAATAGTTGATGTTGTTTTGGGTGTTTTAGACACTTAGAACCTTGTGAATTTGAAGTTATCTAGAGTGATAATTGATTATTGTCACTTGATTGTGGAGATTGAGTATTATTCAAGCTATATCATGCGTATAAAACATGTGAAGCTATTGTTGAGCCATGGTAACCCTTTTACGTGACAAAGGATTGAGGTAACCATATAGTTTGTTGTGTTTATTAACTATTATAACTATGTAAAAGTAAATACAAATGATAAAGTTATGGTTTTGAAGAGTTTTGTGCATAATTTAATATTGTAAATAATTTTAGCATGAAATTTAATTTGTGAAAAGTTATTGATTTTGATTGATATGTATATATTATGTATAAAAGTTTGTGATGTAGAAATGTGAAGAAAAAGTAGTGAAAATTGTGAAAGAGCATGATCATAGGGGGTGAGAGTTCACCCGAGGTATGTGAGGGATATGTGTTTGTGGAGACATGTGAGTAAAAAATCTACATGCTCAGGCTGATACCATAAGACATCTAGTGCAGTATTATATAGGACTATTACCATGAAATATTCGGGCAGTCTAACAACTCCCTAGTACCCGTTAGGGTGCAGTTAGGAGTCAACGACGCCTCTATCACAAGTATGTGAAAAGGAAAAAATCATAGTTTGTAGGTGAGTTAGATTACCCGTGGCCAAGTGTTTCTACCATCAAAAGTGTGCTCGAGTCAACAAGTGGTTGATCCAAGAGAGCCTATGATTTCATATCGAGTAGTATGAAGATTCGGTGGTTAGATGATCATGCTAGTGTGAAATTGTATGGAATTGTTATGAAAAGATGCACTTATCTCATAAATATTGTATACTTGATATTACCTTAGTTTTGATACTTTATCATCGTTATTTGTGGTAATAAGCATTTAATGAACTATTTTAGTTATTAAAATATTTATCTCACCCCATAGTTATATTTTACATGTGAGAGCTTCAATAAGGGCAATGGGAAAGAAGGAGCATTTAAAGAGTGAAGAGCATAGTTGTATAGCTCTTCCCTTTCTTCTTTTGGGTACTGTAACAAATATTATCAATATATAATGCCAACTTAGGTACATAACATTATTTTTGATATCAATTGTATAGGTTTTTGTTATAAGTATGTGTATCTTGGTCCAAGGATAATGTGTGGATTATGTGTGTGTTGGGCTAAGTTACAATTACAAGTGATGCATTTGAAGTGAATTATATGCCTAAAATGACTAAATTGATATATGTGTTAAATGAAATTCACCCCTTTGTGTTGTTGTCAAATAGGGGTTTGGTGGCTATTTTGAGTGTGGTTACTTGTTTGTGTGATATGAATGAATTGCATGTTTTGTTTTGTTTATTTGAGGTGGTTAAAGTATCTCTGGGGCTAATGGCATTTGGTATTGTGAGTTGGACACCTTTGTGTATGTTTAGTGGTGAAAACAAACCATTTAAGGTTCGGGTGTCCATCTTTTTAACAAATGATTATTTGAGTAACAAATTACTGTTATTAGCTAGAGGGCTCAAAGAGCTTCGTGTGGACACTTGAACTACTCAAATTGGAAATTGGATGGCAAAACGGTGCGCTAAGAAATTTTGGAAGGCTGTTATGATAACAATCTACTGTCATGACAGTAGGTGCGCGTCGTGGCACATGGCTGTTGCATTGCAACACATGGGACCTTCGAGAGACTTGTCCCTCTGTGCCATCTACCATGATGAGTAAGGCTTGCACTGTAGCAGACAGACTAGAATTTGCCAAAAAATGGTGTTTTAGCTAAATTTTGATATGGTTTATTTCCCATGCTTCCATATTTATTCTAAATTAATTTTTAACCATAGTTTGAGCTCAAATAATATTTTAAAAAGGGTTTTCTTGGGATTCTAATGTTTTAAACTAATTATCTTTAAACCCTTAGGTTGTGATAAATTCTTTATAGAATTTTATTTAATCCTGGTTATCGCAATAGTATGTGAGTGTTGTCCTGGTAATGTCAAGGCGAATATTACAATTTAGCATCAGTTTCAAGCATTTCAAGACTGGTATGTGTAGTTGTTGTATTGGATGGTTTTGCTTGTTACATTCATGTCTAGAAGTTGGCATATATATTCGTTACACTTACCTTTCCTTTGTATAGTATCTCATTTAATGCTTACTCTTTATATAGTTACCTCTATCCTTAAGAGGGGAGAGAGGATGGCAAGAAGAAAAACTGTCAAAATGGCTACAGGTGGTAACTCATCTAATACAGATATGGTACCAGAGATTAATAAGCTACCACTAGAAAATCACATTCCTGTTGGTCAGAACTTAGAACAACTAAGGAATGAGCCGCAGGGTAATGAGGCCTTGATATTGGAGATGAGGAATTTGATACAAGTACGTAATTCAGTGTAGGGACAAGCTATACCGATGAATGATAGGGTAAGAGGAGACAGTAGAATAATTAAGAATGAAGAAAGATGTATAAGCAAGAAGATGAAGTCTATAAGGAGACCACACCCAAGCAATCTGGAGCTATGGGTGGCAGTGGTTTATAGAATTTCATGGATCAAGCATAGAAGAATTTTTCATGGCTTCATCCACTTACTTTTGATAGAACAATGAAGGAGGGTGAAGTCGAAGAGTGGATCAAGAGAATTGAGGCAATATTTGAAGTGGTGCTATGCTCAAAGGAGCAAAAGGTGACTTTGGTCTCAATATTGCTTGTAAAAGAGGCTAAACATTAGTGGAAGTTGGTGAGATAGACAGCTAGAGTCAAGTGGACATGGGATGAGTTCAAAGTAAGGTTTTTCAACTTTTACTTCCTAGTGGCCTTTAAAGCAGAAAAAGAGGCTGAGTTCCACGAATTTAAGTAAGGGAATCTTGATGAAGAAGCTTTTATCACCATGTTCAATCAATTCTCAAAGGACTCTACTTATCTCATAAGAAATGATGACTCAAAATGGAAGGCTAAGAGACTACTTAAGAAGATGAGGCTTGAGAACTGACAACAGTTGGCCTTGTTTAAGGTCACATCTTATGATAAGATATGCAATAAGCTGAGAATAGCTGCGAGAAGGGGCAAAGAGGTAGAGACTGAGAAGAGAAGGGATAATCAAGGTAGATTCTCAATCGCTTGGCCCTATTGGTGGAGTTAGCAAGAGATTTGGTTTTAGCTCTAGTAGTTCTATGAGCTTTAGGAAGAAGAAGACTTTTCAAAAGGGATCGCAGTCTTGAGGTTCTTTCCAGAGGAGTAGTGGGCTAAAGAATAGTGTCAATGGTGCACAGCCATCTCAGCAGGCTTCCATAATGCCTATGCCGACTCTTAGTATAGCTAGAACCCCTCAATGCTTAAAGTGTGGGGGATATCATGTGGAAAAGTGTTTGGTTTGCTTTAAGTGTGGCAAGATGGGGCATATAGCCAAATATTATGAAGAGGGTAGAATAGGTACCACAAAGCAGAGATCAACTGTTCTTGGGAGAGTATTTGCATTGTCCTAAAAGGAGGCAGGTACGTCTCCAAATGTGATTAAAAGTAAAATCTCTCTGCATAACTGTGATATACATGCTTTATTTGATTCGGGTGCTACCCATTCTTGCATTTCTAATGATTGTGTGTAGAGGTTGAAATTGTCTATGCGTACCATGCCATATGTGATTAATGTGTCGACGCTGGTGGGAATTTTTGTAAGAACCAACTACGCTTGTCTAGGTATTGATTTGAGATTTGAGAATAGATCAACTACCATCGATTTGATCTATCTACCCATGATTGGGATTGATATAGTTGTGTGTATGGACTGGCGGTCGGTAAATAATACGACACTAAATTGTGCAAGAAAGATAATATCCTTGCCAGTATATACTACACCTACAATGAAACCCAGTCAGTCAAGACTCTTGTCTATAATGCAAGAAGAAAAGTGCATTCAATATGGTTGTCAAGCATATGTAGTGTTCTTTTTCATTCATGCTGCTTATAATGGAGGAATTGAGAGAATTGGAGTAGTGAATGAATTTCTCAAAGTCTTTTTGGAAGAAGTGTCTAGATTGCCGCCTGAGCGAGAGGTGAAATTTTCTATTGACCTTGTGCCTGGAACTGAACCCATATCAAAAGCTCTGTATCGGTTGTCTCCATCTAAGTTGGCAAAGCTAAAGAAATAATTAGAGGAATTGCTAGAAAAATGTTTCATAAGATTAAGTGTGTCTCTGTGAGGATCACCAGTGCTATTTGTGAAGAAAAAGGATGGTAGTATGAGACTTTGCATTGACTACAAATAGTTGAATAAGGTAACAATCAAGAACAAGTATCCATTACCTAGGATTGATGATTTACGAAACCAGTTGGTTGGGGCTATAGTGTTCTCTAAGATTGACCTATGATCAAGCTACCATCAATTGCAAGTCAGGGTTGAAGATGTACCAAAGACTACCTTTCACACTAGATATGGTCACTATGAGTTTCTAGTGATTCCATTTAGATTGATGAATGCTCTGATAGTGTCTATAGACTACATGAATAGAATCTTCTATCCTTATCTAGATAAGTTCATAGTAGTGTTCATCGATGATATTCTAATTTACTCAAGAGATAAGGAAGAGCACGTGAAACATCTTCGTACTGCCCTATAACTTTTAAAGGACAATAAGTTATATGCCAAAGTCAACAAATGTGAGTTTTGGCTGAGGGAAGTGAGATTTCTTGGTCACATGGTATTGGCAAAAGGGATTGATGTGGATCTACACAAGGTAGATGTTGTTCTAAAATGAGAACTATAACATCCTAAATTTCTTAATCCTAAGTTTAAAGGTTAATTGAGGGTGAAGTAAAAGTTAGTGCGGATTAGAGATTTGGATGATTAATTAGTATTTTGACTTGTTTGTGTGTTGTATGAACAGATATGTGTGATAGGAATACGTTTTGGGTCAAAGCACGTGCGCGTGGTGAGAATAAATTTCACTGTGCCCATGCCGCGGCTCGTGCTGCATGCTCTACGATGCATGGACCAGAAATTACCTTCATAAGTTGTGAAAATTCAAAAATTTTAGAGGAGTAAAATTGAGAAACACATGAGATAGAGAGAGGAGAAGGGCTGAGGAGCTAAGACAAGTTATTTTAGAGTGGTGGAAGGTGATTTGGATCGGTAACTTGCCAAGTAAGCTACGTATAACTCATACCTTCCATTCTACACAAATTTCTTTGAAAATAAGTTATAGGGAAATTGAATGGGAGGAATTTGAGGGGTTAGATTCTCGCCCAATAGTAATTAAAAGGTTCTCAAAAGTTAAATTTCATGTAACTGGTTTAGAGCTGAATAGTAGAGCTTTAAACCCGTAGGCTCAATTTTAGCCTTCAGAGAGAGAAAGTTAGGGTAAAAATCTTATTTGAGTAAAATAAGACCAATTGAGGTGATGTAAAGTAGTAACTGGGTAATCATAGACTTAGAATGGATAAATAGAAAAAAGTTTATGCATGAACATAGCCCTAAATAGTAAAATGAGTTTTTGGTCAAAATGAACCAAATGACTAAAATGTGCCAAATATATTCAGATTGGCATATTGGATGTGCGAGTAGAGAAAGGAATCTTAAGATAAGCTTGTGCGATAATTGAAATTCACGGGTAACCATTCTAGTGACAGAAGGGTTAAGGTAACTAAATAACTTTATTTGTTTGACTGTTTATTATAACTATATTTTAGTATGATATGTAGTACATGAAATGATTTTAAACTAAGCATGTTTTATAGCATTGAGCGATTGTTGTGTATGAACGGCATTTGGTTGAAATAAGCATGGAAATGTGTGTTTTATAATGAAAAGTATTATATGTATATTTTATGTGTAAAAAAGTATTAAATAATAAATGGGAACCTTAAATAGTTCAAAAAAGCATGATCATAAGGGTGGGAGTTCACCCGAGTGCAGGAGATGATAAAGACTATGTGGCAAGGTTTCCTTAGTACTTGATAGGATGCGGTGTTGGAAACAATTCTCCTTAGTACTTTGAAAGGTGCCGTGTTGGAGAAGATCTCCTTAGTGCCTATTGAGGTACAATGTTGAAGATGAGAGACTCCTTAGTGTCCTTATGGTACAGTGTTGGAGTCAACGATACTCCATTGTATGTATTGGGGGAAACCATAGTTCATATTGTACATTAAAACATCTTTAGCCGAGTGATTCTACTACTGTAGGTGAGCTCAAGACTAATGAGAGTGTACATTGGTCTAAGATGAGCCTATAGTTTCATGTTAGGGTGATTCAGAGGTTCGATTAGTAGAGATCATGATAATATATTATGCAATATGATGAAATATCTTGAGATAACATGGAATCCTTTATGATTAATGAAAAGTTGAGAATGAAATAAGATATGTGATATAAATGTTATTTTATGAGGTTTTAATGGTATACTATGTTTACTTCCATATTGTTGCATGTGATACTCAATAGGAGTGAGTTATTCTATTACTAAAACTTTTATCTCACCCTCATGGTTATATGTTTATAGGATCGGGAAGTGATCAAGCTAAGGGAAGAGAGTCTTCACCAGCTTGAGTGTGAAGCCATGTACTCTAAGGTTGTGTAATGAACTGAACTAAAATTATATATATAAGTGTATATGAGTTGCCATAGGGTTGCATGCATTTATTGAATTGAGTTTTTGAGAAATCAAGCCCGATCATATGTATATATATTGAAATGAAACAAAGGGGCTATGATTTGAGTATATCATGTTGAAATGATTCTTGTGTTGGTGGATCTTAAGCTAAGGGGCAAATTATGATAAAACGAGTAATTTGGGGGCTAATATTATATTATGAATGTGATTGTATATGTATGGGTTAAGAAATAGCCAAGTGGGCTATGTTATGTCAAGAAATGGCAAAGTATGTGAAGTCAGTGAATTGTGAAAATTAGCCGTAGAAAGATCAAATTTTGATATATGAGTATGATTGTGATTAATTGACATCAATCAAGTGTATTAGATCCTTTTGGACTTAGTTCAAGGGCTAATGTGGTGTAATGAGAGAAAAGGATCAATTTGAGTGTTTGGGTGCGCAAATTTTTTTTAAAAAAGTAACTTTTTACATCCAGATGTTTAAATTTTGATCGACTATTAGATCATGTACAAACCTATCTTATTGTTAGTATACGAGCTAGTCTTCATGTGGGTGCTTGAATCACTCCAATCGGATGTCGTATGTGAAAACAGTGCACGTCGGAAGTTTATCATTTTTGTTGTCAAAATGATAGCAGAAATTCGGACAAGCATGCCGCGGCGCATAGTGACACGTGCCATGGCGCACAGCACAGAAAGGAAGGCGTGTGGCTCTGTGTCACATGCCACAATGTATGGACTGCATGCTGTAGTGCACGGACTAAATTTAAGTTTTATTTTATGTTAAAATGCATGCAGTTGGGATAGAAATACTGGTGGGTTATGTCTATTATGTATTTAGGGAGTGTATGATTTACTTCTGCTTTGTTTTTCTCTAATTTTATTGTAAATTGATTGGTTTTACAAAATAAGTCTTCGGCCAAAGCTTTTGAAATGAAATTTGAGTATTGTAATTGATGTGAGGCAGTAGTAACACCGTAATCTTCTTTTACACTAAGAAATATAAGAGGAGGTTATAGGAACCGCCTACCTCAGTGATAGAAATTAGAAGTTTCTTGGGATTGGTAGGCTACTATTAGCATTTCATTCAAGGATTCTCCTAAATTGCCTCTCTATTGACTAAGTTGACTCGAAAGGATCAACCGTATGTGTGGACCGATAAATGTGAATTAGCATTTCAAGAGTTGAAGAGGAAACTAACGTCTACTCTAATACTGGTTATTCCTAATCCTTAATTATTGTATGTGGTTTATACAAATCATCATTGAAAGTTTTAGGGTGCATTTTAATGCAAGATGATCAAGTTGTGCTTATACCTCAAGAAATTGTGACTGCATGAGGAGAATTACCTGACTCATGATCTGGAGTTAGAAGCAATGGTTTTTACCTTGCAAATTTGACGACACTATCTTTATGGGTCTGTGTTTAAAGTATTTAGTGATCATAAAAGTTTAAAGTACTTAGTGGATCAGAAGGAACTAAACATGAGGTAACATAAATGGATGGAATTCCTCAAGGACTACAACTTTGAGATCAAGTACCATCCAGGTAAAGCCAATGTAGTGGCAGTTGCGCTAAGCAAGAAAACGGTGCATGTTGCTCATATGGTGATTCAAGAGCATCGATTACTTGAGACTTTCTTAGATACTCAAAGGAAAGCACCTTACATGACATTGTATAATGTGCATTCTACAGTCATAACTAATGAATTTTGGAAAGAGTTGCAAGCTGCTTAGTTTGAGCATGAATACTTATTAGGAATCCATGAGGATATTAAAGAAAGAAGACCCATAGAATTTAGATTCAATGATGATGGATATGAGACTTATCAGGATCGAATTTATGTGCCAAGTGATGAGGAGATAAGGAAGACGATCCCACAAAAAGCACACCGTAGTGAGTATACTATTCACCCTAGTATCACTAAGATATATTAGGATATAAAGCAAATGTAGTAGTGGCTAGGAATGAAGAAAGATGTGACAGAGTTTATGACTAGATGTCTGATGTGCCAAAAGGTTAAGATTGAGCATCAAACGCCTGGTGGTGTGTTGCAACTACTAGAGATCCCAGAGTGGTAATAGGATAGCATATCAATGGATTTCATCACTAGATTGCCTAGAACTCAAGCGGGCTATGATGCAATATGGGTAATTGTGGATCAGTTGATGAAGTCAGCATACTTCTTGGTAGTGAAAACTACCTATTCACTTGAGAAGTATGCCGAGGTCTATGTAAATGAGATAGTGAGACTTCATGGGGTGCCAAAAGACATTATCTCTGATCATGATCTGAGCTTTACGTTGAACATTTGGGGAGCATTGTAGAGAGAAATGGCACTAACTTGAGATTTAGCACAGCCTATCATCCATAAATGGATGGCCAGACTGAGAGGACTATCTAAATGCTTAAGGATATGTTGCAAGCTTGTGCCTTAGAGTTAAGAGGCAGTTGGGATACACATCTACTATTAGCAAAGTTTGCTTACAACAATGGTTTTAATTCTAGCATTAGAATGGCTCCGTATAAGGCATTATATGGAA